CGACCCGCTTGCCCAGCTTGAGCTAATATGCATCTGCCAGCAATTTGTCGAGGTAAGAAATATGCAACATATGTTATCTACGGGCATTGCACTTTCTCCCATCCATTTGTTTTAGCTGAAAAATCATATATATATATATGTATATATATATAGTATTTTTATGGTGAGGGTACCTCTGTTCTTTATGGCTGTTTTCTCTTGTCTTTCCATCTACTCTTTTGACGACATGAATTTTCTCTTAATTTAGATAGGCTTATCAAATCCTCCGAATAAATGATACTGCTTTATTGCCCATTTTCCGCTTATATTTCTTGTCTCAGAACAATTTTGCCTTTATTCAGCTTTGTGAAAAAGAACTTTTTTAGTTTTGTCCCTGGACTTTGCTTTCTCTACTCCTTTTTCATTGATGGTTTTTTAAATTACTGTAGGTTTTAGTAGGTCTCACCATGTAATTGAATCTAACCCTCTGTTTAAAACGAATATTCTTGCACACTTCTGTCGATACACGTTTATATCCTTGTAATTTTGCCCAGTTATTAATGTCTTCTATTGCTCGCTTGTCATGCCGTTTGTCACTTTCTGCCATTTACATCCTTCCTTTACCTATTGACTGTGAACATCGTGTTCCTCGAATCTATCGCGGCCAGCCATGCGAAGCACTGGTCAGATCGAGCCGGTCATTGTCGCCTACGGTACACGATGCCGGTCTACAGGCGGCGCTGACGAACTCTTATGGACAAATGAGTCAGGCCGTGGAGGCCTTGCGTGCATGCCTGGCTCGTGCGGAGCCTGCCGTCCGCCAGCTCCAAGTGGCCGGCGCATTGGCCCGATTAGTGCGCCTCCGCGACGAGGCCGACCGGTTAGAGACAGCCGTCTGCGGCGCATCGATGGGCTCCGGTACCATACCTTTGCTTGCTGCTCTGCCTGACGACAAGGCGAGTGGGAAGTTGGCATTATCAGCACTTATGCGGCGAGATTTTTATCATAGCATCTTCATTTTTACGCTTATACCCTTTGCAATGATCCGTGGCTCGACCCGATTTTCTCTCCTATCCTATTTTGCTGTTCGACGCAAAATACTATAACTAATAATAAATAATTTGATATATTAACCTATCTAAATTAATATAATAAGTAAATAAAAATAAAACTTAGCAGTGAATACTAGTAGCTAATACTACTAATAGTAGCAAATAACTTCTTAATATCACTAGTGTCTGAGATCTGAGAGAAAATCTGAAAATCACGTCTGACACATGATACACTGGCAGTTTGGCGTACTGGTAGCCTGGCATAGATACAGCTGGACACTAATTGGGCTTGAGTCCTGTTGGGGCTTGGATAAGATAGCCTTCTCGGAGTCAAGGTTTAGTGAACTTTACTGGTATCACTGGGGGAAAATTCGTTTATCACTCCTTCATCACTTTATGCGACCTAGGGTGAATAACGCTCTTATAGTTGCCCCATGCTCCTTGCAAAGTTTACCCAGACTCGGGCTTACATAAATCAGTCCCTATAATTTGCAATAAATCGTGCCTATTTCGAGGGATAAAGCGTGCTAAAAAGAGGACAGTTTTTGGCTCCCGCCGTCGTCTCTTTCGATTCGCCCCTTCCCTTTGAACCTCATCTTCAAGCCTCACTACTATTACCTCTCTGCGCTTGTTATAACTCTGCTTTCATAGTACACGGTAGTCACAACTCTTGCTTGTCCACCCGCATTTGTGCCTATAGCGCACGGTTACTTCCCATTTCAGAATTCCTCTCCTCAGTGCCCTTGATTGAGGTCGGTTCAGTATTGACTCATGGTTCTAAGTAAACAACATTTTTGCCTTTTTTCATTCGGGATGCATTATTGGTGGCTTTTGGCT